ATAAAAATAGAATTTTCTCGAAAATTTTTTAATAAAAAGAGAATTTTCTCGAAAATTTTTTAATAAAAAAGGAGAATTTTCTCGAAAATTTTTTAATAAAAAGGAGAATTTTCTCGAAAATTTTTTAATAAAAAGAGAATTTTCTCGAAAATTTTCTATAAAAAGAGAATTTTCTCGAAAATTTTCTATAAAAAGAGAATTTTCTCGAAAAAAGAGAATTTTCTCGAAAATTTTCTATAAAAAGAGAATTTTCTCGAACATTTTCTATAAAACGAGAATTTTCTCGAAAATTTTCTTTAAAAAGAGAATTTTGTCGAAAATTTTCTATAAAAAGAGAATTATCTCGAAAATTTTTTAATAAAAGAGAATTTTCTCGAAAATTTGTTAATAAAAAGAGAATTTTCTCGAAAATTTTCTATAAAAAAAGACAATTTTCTCGAAAATAAAAAGAGAATTTTCTCGAAAATTTTTTAATAAAAAGAGAATTTTCTTCAAAATTTTTTAATAAAAAGAGAATTTTCTCGAAAATTTTTTAATAAAAAAAGAATTTTCTCGAAAATTTTCTATAAAAAAAGAATTTTCTCGAAAATTTTCTATAAAATAAGGAGAATTTTCTCGAAAATTTTTTAATAAAAAAGGAGAATTTTCTCGAAAATTTTTTAATAAAAAAGGAGAATTTTCTCGAAAATTTTTTAATAAAAAAGGAGAATTTTCTCGAAAATTTTTTAATAAAAAAGGAGAATTTTCTCGAAAATTTTTTAATAAAAAGAGAATTTTCTCGAAATTTTCTATAAAAAGAGAATTTTCTCGAAAATTTTCTATAAAAAGAGAATTTTCTCGAAAATTTTCTATAAAAAGAGAATTTTCTCGAAAATTTTCTATAAAAAGAGAATTTTCTCGAAAATTTTCTATAAAAAGAGAATTTTCTCGAAAATTTTGTATAAAAAGAGAATTTTCTCGAAAATTTTCTATAAAAAGAGAATTTTCTCGAAAATTTTCTATAAAAAAAGAATTTTCTCGAAAATTTTCTATAAAAAGAGAATTTTCTCGAAAATTTTCTATAAAAAGAGAATTTTCTCGAAAATTTTCTATAAAAAGAGAATTTTCTCGAAAATTTTCTATAAAAAGAGAATTTTCTCGAAAATTTTCTATAAAAAGAAAATTTTCTATAAAAAGAGAATTTTCTCGAAAATTTTCTATAAAAAGAGAATTTTCTCGAAAATTTTCTATAAAAAGAGAATTTTCTCGAAAAAAGAGAATTTTCTCGAAAAAGAGAATTTTCTCGAAAAAAGAGAATTTTCTCGAAAAAAGAGAATTTTCTCGAAAATTTTCTATAAAAAGAGAATTTTCTCGAACATTTTCTATAAAAAGAGAATTTTCTCGAAAATTTTCTTTAAAAAGAGAATTTTGTCGAAAATTTTCTATAAAAAGAGAATTATCTCGAAAATTTTTTAATAAAAAGAGAATTTTCTGGAAAATTTGTTAATAAAAAGAGAATTTTCTCGAAAATTTTTTAATAAAAAGAGAATTTTCTTCAAAATTTTTTAATAAAAAGAGAATTTTCTCGAAAATTTTTTAATAAAAAAAGAATTTTCTCGAAAATTTTCTATAAAAAAAGAATTTTCTCGAAAATTTTCTATAAAAAAAGAATTTTCTCGAAAATTTTCTATAAAAAGAGAATTTTCTCGAAAATTTTCTATAAAAAGAGAATTTTCTCGAAAATTTTTTAATAAAAAGAGAATTTTCTCGAAAATTTTTTAATAAAAAGAGAATTTTCTCGAAAATTTTTTAATAAAAAAAGAATTTTCTCGAAAATTTTTTATTAAGACAGAATTTTTCATGAAATAAAATTTTCGAAAATTTTCTTAAAAGAAATTTTGAAAATCTATTTAAATCGAAAATGTAAAATAACTGATCGATTTTGTTCTAAAAAAGCCCTCCTCTCAGCTTATTCGTTCACTTTAAGTAAGCACCTGAAATTTTTACCACAAGTACACTGAGCTTTTTGTCTTCTATTTGTAAAAATACAATAATTCCTTAAATACCCTGCTTTATGGCATTATTGAAACCCATAATAAGCAGCACAAATGATATAAAACAGCTCATGACTTATGACCAAAATCCAACCAAATTCATGTTAAAATAATATTGAACTTGGTGTAGTATTTTGTTGATTTAACTTTTAAGACCTTTTATCAAACACACTCACACACATAACATACATGCATAATATTCAATACATTTACATGTACATACATACGTTCCAACATACACCCATTTATATTGGTTTACAGTTACATGTACTCTAAATAAATAACCAGAGTAATACGAGCTTGTGATTCATGGACAAAAATGACAATTTTGTTTGCCAAACATTAGAGGGAACTCACTACTAATGCTGTGAAATTTCAGTTTTCGAAACGAGGGTCATAAATGTTTATTGGTTTCCAACTAATTGGGAAATTTACTTAATTTTAAGATTGATATTTCAATATGAAGATTGAAAATCTTTAATGTACAAATTTTCTTAACTTTAGTCCGATATTTTTGTTTTTATTAAGTTTTTTGTGACCCTCGTATAATTCTGTAAAAACAAACTGCTGTGGATATTATATTTTCACTACCTATAGTTTTTCGTTTGAAACATTTCCAGGTGTAAACACTAACACTATTACATGCAAATGGAGTTAGTTATTTTTGGCACCTGTAGTCAGACATATTGAAATACAAGTAAAAACCATTACTCACACACCTATAAATCTTCTATTTACCTTTGGTCTTAAAAGTTTTTTTTTTCGTTTAAAAATGTAATCAAAAGTAAACAAAACAACCGACATAACGATGTTCGAAGGACCAACAGTCAAGCAGATAGGCTACATACTACATACACTTGTAATATAAAAAGAGTCTTATGAAAATTACAAAAACAAGAAATCCATAAGAACTTTCATATGTAGAACTATATACATTTTGTGTATACGCAATAATGTTTGAGTATACTACACCATTTGCAATAGGAAATATAATATAAATATATATTTTACAATTACTAACTATCTCCACTACATTACATTACAATTAAGAAATTTGTAAAATACAAATAAATAATTGGAAATTTTCTTAATTACATTTGGATACTGTGTAGTATTTAATATTATTTTATGTTGTAAATATGTTTAACCGAATTATTACGTTCGATTGGAGTCAATTGCTTTTTAAATTCTGTGGTTGCTGTTGTATTTGATGTTTAAATAAATAACTAAACAGTAAATTAAACAGAATGGAAAATTAATTTTAAGCCTTTTGTTTAGAATTTTGTTGGTATTAGATAAAGTAACAATAAAATTGAAATCAATTAACAAAATTATATTACAATTTAATTTAATTAATATTTACTTTGAAAAATAAAAATATAAACTATTTTGAATATAAAAGTCTTTCTTAATTGATTTGTTCTAAGAAATAAAAAATTTTTAGACGAAAAAACTACATTTTTCAAAAGTTTGTATTTACGATAAAAAGTTTTAGGAAATTAGAACTGAATTTCTGAACTAGAACTAAACTAGAACTGAACTAAAACTGAACTAAACTGAACTAGAACTGAACTAAAACTGACTAGAACTGACCTAGAACTGAACTAAACTTAACTAGAACTGAACATACTGGAACTATAACTGAACTAGAACTGAACTATAACTGAACTAGAACTGAACTAGAACTGAACTAGAAAATGAATCTAAACTGACTAGAACTGAACTAGAACGGAACTAAACTGAACTAGAACTGAACTAGAACTGAACTAGAACTGAACTAGAACTGAACTAGAAACTGAACTAGAACAGACTAAACTGAACTAGAATTGAACTAGAACTGAAAGAGTAACTGAACGAGAACTGAACTGAACTGAACTAGAACTGAACTAGAACTGAACTAGAACTGAACTAGAACTGAACTAGAACTGAACTAGAACTGAACTAGAACTGAACTAGAACTGAACTAGAACTGAACTAGAACTGAACTAGAACTGAACTAGAACTGAACTAGAACTGAACTAGAACTGAACTAGAACTGAACTAGAACTGAACTAGAACTGAACTAGAACTGAACTAGAACTGAACTAGAACTAGAACTGAACTAGAACTGAACTAGAACTGAACTAGAACTGAACTAGAACTGAACTGAACTAGAACTGAACTAGAACTGAACTAGAACTGAACTAGAACTGAACTAGAACTGAACTAGAACTGAACTAGAACTGAACTAGAACTGAACTAGAACTGAACTAGAACTGAACTAGAACTGAACTAGAACTGAACTAGAACTGAACTAGAACTGAACTAGAACTGAACTAGAACTGAACTAGAACTGAACTAGAACTGAACTAGAACTAGAACTGAACTAGAACTAGAACTAGAACTAGAACTAGAACTAGAGCTAGAACTGAACTAGAACTAGAACTGAACTAGAACTGAACTACAACTGAACTAGAACTGAACTAGAACTGAACTAGAACTGAACTAGAACTGAACTAGAACTGAACTAGAACTGAACTAGAACTGAACTAGAACTGAACTAGAACTGAACTAGAACTGAACTAGAACTGAACTAGAACTGAACTAGAACTGAACTAGAACTGAACTAGAACTGTACTAGAACTGAACTAGAACTGAACTAGAACTGAACTAGAACTGAAATAGAACTGAAATAGAACTGAACTAGAACTGAACTAGAATTTAAAAAAATAATTTTTAAAATTGCACATAAATTCAACTTTTTCGTTAAAATTTTCCCCTAAATAATATTATTCTCTCATTTAAGACTATTAAGTTTACCAAACATTAAAAAAGCCATAAACTTTAATATTTAATTTAAATGTATGGCAAATTCTTTCACACAAACTCCAAACAATTTGTATGCATTTCCAATAACATTAGTTTTATATCAATTACTTAGCATTGAATACATATTTGTTAAACAATACTTTTATTGCTGGTACTTACAATAAATTCGAAACACATTCTGGACTCACTTTACATTCGATATTGATTAGCCAACCATCGAAATGATAGTGTCTGCATAATCTAACCAAAGCATCGACAGTATTGTTCACCATTTCCGTTGATTCTAAAACTTCGTGTAAAAGCTGTGAACCTTTTGCGCCCTCAGTAATAAAGGTACCTGTGGGTGAAAAAAATAAAAACCAGAATTACACATAAACAATGGTAATAAATGTAACTTTAATGGTATTTGGAAGAGGCGAAATGAAAATATGCAAATAGTTCTAAGGGCAAATATAAGCAGGAAATAGGCCTTGCTGTAGGCCTTGAGAGGGTCATTCGAATTAGGGCTTATTATGGACACATTTGACATTACTGGAATTCTACAAGACCCTATATGGAAAATATTTAGGTAGACATTCCAAAATAAGTACAGTTTGAGATTAAGAAAACTTTTGGAAGGTTGTATTGAAACTGCTGAAGAAGGCCTCCTTCTATATAACAAGGCCCTTTAGTGACTTCCATTTTCACACACAATTGTCATATATAGTACATTTATTTACACTCCATTCATGTTGACTTGTTTTAGAACATGCTGAGATTAGTGAAAACATTTCTAATATCTAAGTCAATGGTCGGCACAAAGTAACAATAACATAATAAAACTCAAAGGCTACAATGCAACTTATTACATTTTTCATTCGACTTTAAATGGCTTTTACAAAAACTATTTACCTTAGACCCCTAGTGGTTATGGATGCCGAGCACTAACTTGCATATAGTATTACTGTTTTTGTTTATAGTGTGTCATGTAAGGAAGTGCGATTTCCTGTTTTTATGTGTTTTTATATTTCTGCTTCTATTTTTTTTTATTAGAAAATTTTATTGGCTGTATATTTAATGGTATTAGTTTTTTTCTATCTCTATAAATGTGCTTGCGTTTAGATTCAGTTTTAAATGTATTAAATTGAAGTGTGAAAAAATAAGTTTTACCTAAAACAGCTACACCATGTTTGTGGGCAGCATTTATCCAACCACATGGTGGTATTGTAACATAATTGTGGCTAAAATAACAGAAATAATCAATGCCGGGCCAATGATAGAAACGATAATCGTCATATTTTTTTGAGGAATGATAGTGTCTGAAAAAAAAATTAAAAATAAATAGGTAAAACAATAGACAGTTAATTAGGAATGTAATGTATAAAAACATAGATCATAAGGATTAGAGTAATGTAAAAAATTTAAATTAATTTATTTGTAAAGAAAATACCTTCTTGATCAGAATTGTGAATAGCAAAGAACTTGGAAATCTCTAAAACTGAATTAAAACTGAACTAAATCTAGAACTAGAACTGAACTAGAACTGAACTAAAACTGAACTAGAACTGAACTAACTGAACGAGAACGGAACTAGAATGAACTAGAACTGAACTAGAATAGAACTGAACTAGAACTGAACTAGAACTGAACTAGAACTGAACTAGAAACTGAACTAGAACTGAACTAGAACTGAACTAGAACTGAACTAGAACTGAACTAGAACTGAACTAGAACTGAACTAGAACTGAACTAGAACTGAACTAGAACTGAACTAGAACTGAACTAGAACTGAACTAGAACTGAACTAGAACTGAACTAGAACTGAACTAGAACTGAACTAGAACTGAACTAAGAACTGAACTAGAACTGAACAGAACTGAACTAGAACTGACTAGAACTGAACTAGAACTGAACTAGAACTGAACTAGAACTGAACTAGAACTGAACTAGAACTGAACTAGAACTGAACTAGAACTGAACTAGAACTGAACTAAAACTGAACTAGACTGAACTAGAACGAACTAGAATGACTAGAACTGAACTAGAACTGAACTAGAACTGAACTAGAACTGAACTAGAACTGAACTAGAACTGAACTAGAACTGAACTAGAACTGAACTAGAACTGAACTAGAACTGAACTAGAACTGAACTAGAACTGAACTAGAACTGAACTAGAACTGAACTAGAACTGAACTAGAACTGAACTAGAACTGAACTAGAACTGAACTAGAACTGAACTAGAACTGAACTAGAACTGAACTAGAACTGAACTAGAACTGAACTAGAACTGAACTAGAACTGAACTAGAACTGAACTAGAACTGAACTAGAACTGAACTAGAACTGAACTAGAACTGAACTGAACTAGAACTGAACTAGAACTGAACTAGAACTGAACTAGAACTGAACTAGAACTGAACTAGAACTGAACTAGAACTGAACTAGAACTGAACTAGAACTGAACTAGAACTGAACTGAACTGAACTGAACTAGAACTGAACTAGAACTGAACTAGAACTGAACTAGAACTGAACTAGAACTGAACTAGAACTGAACTAGAACTGAACTAGAACTGAACTAGAACTGAACTAGAACTGAACTAGAACTGAACTAGAACTGAACTAGAACTGAACTAGAACTGACTAGAACTGACACTGGACTAGAACTGACTAGACTGAACAGATCCGCACAGAAATTAACTAAAACTAAACTAATATTTATTTTCCAAAAATGTATTTTATCTCTTACTTACCTATCTTCCAAGTAATTGCCCATCATATCATGACAAACCAAAACTTTTCGTCGATTATGATCGCCAATAGGTTCTCGATAATTACTTATGAAATTAAATTGTCTCTGTAAAAATACTGGTCGTGAGCGGGATTTGAGAGGCATAACATATTCATGCCACTGAATATTTTTACTGCGTATCTTTAAGTTTAATAACTGTTCATTGTTGTGTAAAGCCTCAGCCTCTAATTGATCTCAAGAGATGGAGTATAGGACATTATAAATTAATTTTTGTTTAAACTATTATTAAAGAATAACTTCAAATAATTAATTAAAAAAGACAAATCACTGTTATTTGTTACAAGTTTCAATTAAAACTGAGCTCAAAATATTAGCATATGCATTTTGTTGTAAATATTTATAATTACTATTGTTTTATTTTATTTAGTTTAGTTTATTCTTATCAAAATAAAAGCAAAATCATTTTTATTTTCACATATTCTTTTTATTTTTTTGCAAAATGTAATGTGTTATTATTAAACTATTACTTATTATGTGCACTTGCCTTTGCAACGAATATTTGTAAAAATGTATAAATTCTGATTAGAATGGCATTAGTTTCTCTTACAACGACAACAACAGAAGAGAATAATGAAAATTATAAAACCAAATAATGACGACATAACCCCATTTATCATTTCTTGGCGGCAAAAGAAAACACAAATGTTTATTTTTCTATTCTAAGCCGTTCGACTTCGCATGCATTCAGTTTTGCATTTTATAGGTCAACTATAAAATAGTGCCAACAATAGCAAAACTTCTATCACAATTATATATAGTGCAAAAATGGCACGTTTAATAAAGTTCTGATAAAGTAAACCGAAAAAAGAAGATAAACGTTTGTTTGTCGCAACAAAGGTTTTTCTTTAGAAAACATTGATCTTTATAAGGTTAAGAATAGTATAAATCAAATATATTACTATCATACTTCTATGTTTTTATTATCTCTTCTATTTAGCTAAGTTCAATTTTTGTTCGGTTCTAGTTCAGTAACTAGGAAATCTCTAGTTCAGTTTTAGATCAGTTCTAGTTCAGTTCTAGTTATACCCTACACCACTTTAGTGGGGAGCGTATATTGGATTTGTGCTGATGTTTGTAACATACAAAAATATTCGTCCTAGACCCACCTTAAAGTATACCAATCGGCTTAGAATCGACGAAGCCTATTGAAAATGGTTAAAATCGGTCCATTATTTCACCTAGCCCCCATAGAACAGAACTCCCCGAAAAGGGCTTCTGAGCTCATAATTATGTTAAATATACAGATATATCGATAAAATACGGCACAACTAAGTTTTGTAGAAGTCTTGATGACCCTGCCAAATTTCATAAAGATCGGGCTCCATTTGACCCTAGCTCCCATACAAAGTCCCCTTAAGAAAATTACTTGAATGTCCCAAATTTTACTTATAAAAGTAGAGCCCCTTTCAGAAAATTAGTTTTTCATCCATAATTGCTTAAATGTATCGGAACAAGGGAATATTGAAGATAAATACTTTATTATGAAAAATAAATCACATTTAATATTCATAACTGGTGTAGGGTATCATATGGTCGGCCAAGCCCGACTATACTTTCTTACTTGTTCAGTTCTAGTTCAGTCTAGTTCAGTTCTAGTTCAGTTCTAGTTCAGTTCTAGTTCAGTCTAGTTCAGTTCTAGTTCAGTTCTAGTTCAGTTCTAGTTCAGTTCTAGTTCAGTTCTAGTTCAGTTCTAGTTCAGTTCTAGTTCAGTTCTAGTTCAGTTCTAGTTAGTTCTAGTTTCAGTTCTAGTTTCAGTTCTAGTTCAGTTCTAGTTCAGTTCTAGTTCAGTTCTAGTTCAGTTCTAGTTCAGTTCTAGTTCAGTTCTAGTTCAGTTCTAGTTCAGTTCTAGTGCAGTTCTAGTTCAGTTCTAGTTCAGTTCTAGTTCAGTTTCAGTTCAGTTCTAGTTCAGTTCTAGTTCAGTTCTAGTCAGTTCTAGTTCAGTTCTAGTTCAGTTCTAGATTCAGTTCTAGTTCAGTTCTAGTTCAGTTCTGGTTCAGTTTCTAGTTCAGGTTCTAGTTCAGTTCTAGTTCAGTTCTAAGTTTCAGTTTCTAGTTCAGTTCTAGTTCAGTTCTAGTTCAGTTCTAGTTCAGTTCTAGTTCAGTTCTAGTTCAAGTTCTAGTTCAGTTCTAGTTCAGTCTAGTTCAGTTCTAGTTCAGTTCTAGTTTCAGTTCTAGTTCAGTTCTAGTTCAGTTCTAGTCAGTTCTAGTTCAGTTCTAGTTCAGTTCTAGTTCAGTTCTAGTCAGTTCTAGTTCAGTTCTAGTTCAGTTTCTAGTTCAGTTCTAGTTCAGTTCTAGTTCAGTTCTAGTTCAGTTCTAGTTCAGTTCTAGTTCAGTTCTAGTTCAGTTCTAGTTCAGTTCTAGTTCAGTTCTAGTTCAGTTCTAGTTCAGTTCTAGTTCAGTTCTAGTTCAGTTCTAGTTCAGTTCTAGTTCAGTTCTAGTTCAGTTCTAGTTCAGTTCTAGTTCAGTTCTAGTTCAGTTCTAGTTCAGTTCTAGTTCAGTTCTAGTTCAGTTCTAGTTCAGTTCTAGTTCAGTTCTAGTTCAGTTCTAGTTCAGTTCTAGTTCAGTTCTAGTTCATTTCTAGTTCAGTTCTAGTTCAGTTCTAGTTCAGTTCTAGTTCAGTTCTAGTTCTAGTTCAGTTCTAGTTCAGTTCTAGTTCAGTTCTAGTTCAGTTCTAGTTCAGTTCTAGTTCAGTTCTAGTTCAGTTCTAGTTCAGTTCTAGTTCAGTTCTAGTTCAGTTCTAGTTCAGTTCTAGTTCAGTTCTAGTTCAGTTCTAGTCAGTTCTAGTTCAGTTCTAGTTCAGTTCTAGTTCAGTTCTAGTTCAGTTCTAGTTCAGTTCTAGTTCAGTTCTAGTTCAGTTCTATTCAGTTCTAGTTCAGTTCTAGTTCAGTTCTAGTTCAGTTCAGTTCAGTTCTAGTTCAGTTCTAGTCAGTTCTAGTTCAGTTTAGTTCAGTTCTAGTTCAGTTCTAGTTCAGTTCTAGTTCAGTTCTAGTTCAGTTCTAGTTCAGTTCTAGTTCAGTTCTAGTTCAGTTCTAGTTCAGTTCTAGTTCAGTTCTAGTTCAGTTCTAGTTCAGTTCTAGTTCAGTTCTAGTTCAGTTCTAGTTCAGTTCTAGTTCAGTTCTAGTTCAGTTCTAGTTCAGTTCTAGTTCAGTTCTAGTTCAGTTCTAGTTCAGTGTCTAGTTCAGTTCTAGTTCAGTTCTAGTTCAGTTCTAGTTCAGTTCTAGTTAAGTTCAGTTCTCGTATCTTAGAATTATTCAATTAAAGCCTCGTGTTATAATTTTCACAACATGCTTAAATTCCCACATTTCTACAAACAATAAAGGATTTTCTGCCTTACAATTCTTTTCAAAATCACTATAATTTATGCTTTTATTGTAAATTGTTCATTTCTACTTCAAAAGCTATAATTTGTCTAAAATGTTGGATTATTTTATACGAATGTAGCAAGAAACATCCTTTATGGGTTGTTAAATGTTATACTATTTAGCAAAAGAAAAATGCACCATAATATAAAATTTTAAACATTTTTTAAGCATAAAAAAGGTGTTGCTTTATGTTAGAATAGTACAATTACTCAAAATAATGAGCCAACGGCAAATCAATAAAAGAGAAATCTATTATTCAAAAGTATTTTGCTTTTTTTTAATGTTTGAAATTTTGAATTCCTTCGAAAGTATTCCTCAAAAAAATTATTTTCCTAAGTGTAGTTTTAATTTTGTCTAATACTGTATAGGAAAATATCAAACTAAAAATAGCTTTATTGTGTGTAAAAATTTTTCTGAAATATGAATGTTTATTCGTATGTATTTGCTTCAGTTTCTACGCCCAAATGTTTGAAATTGTATAGTTAGAAATATAGATCATTTACAATTTTAAAATTTGTTTTCAGTTGCATAGTTATAAAGTATTCCTTCAGTTTTTAAAGCACCAATTTATCGATTCGGCCACTCTTATTTGAAATGGCTACATAACGATTACCCGATAATGAGTGTAGTTAGTTTTGGGAAGAAATACTACGGAATATGCTCACTTCAGAAATTGAACTAGGAAGAAGTTATCTTATTGAACAGAAACTATTCAGAACTACTGGGATGTTGTATAGGAGTGCGTAAGGTCAGTTATATACAATAAATATTCATGGTCACACAGTGGTATAGGAAAAAAAAAAGAGGGAAATAATTCGGTAACTTCTAAACGGTTAATCCGATTTTAATGAAATTTGGTATGCACAAAGAGGAGGTGTTGTCGAGTTTAGGTTTTGAATTTGGACCTTATAGGCCAACCAGGGGCCCGGCGGGGGGTCCTCAAATTAGGACACCTCGGCTATGTTAAATTTTTAAAACGATCCTATTTCTTCATTTGAGTTCCGATTTAAAAAAAATTTCGTATATAGAATCTCCTCATCGAGCACTATAAAAAATGTCGTCGTAGCAGTAAATTATCTCTTATAGTTTAGGAGATATTCGCATTTGAATATTAAAATTTTAAAATTTTTACCGTCCTTACTTTAGTTTTTTTGATAATAGCAGGTCCAAATATTTCCGATTTTCGCCATTTTTTTTTTATTTGCTTAACAACAAGTTTATATACCAAGCAGTGAAAGAATTATGTAAAAATCATGACTGAGTCCAAAGTTATAGGCATTTAAATTTAAAAAATTAAAAAAAGGCGATTTTTTGTCATTTTTTTGGGAAAAAAGTATTTTTTTCTTTTTAAGTTATCTAAAAAGTTTCTAAGAAGATGTATATAGAATTTATACTTTTTGGAAAGCTGACTTTACATAAAATACGATAAATGAAACAAAACCTAAAAATTTTTGATACCGAGGGGACCAGGTCCATCCAAAAAAACCCTATTTTTTATGGAAAATTAAATTTTGAGCAAAAATTCTCAAATCGCATAGTCGATATCAAATTATAGTGACCTGTTTTATATGACCCAATAAGTTCTTAATCATTTTGTAACGGGTTTCGATAACCCCGCCCCTGGTATGGATATAATAGGCAAAAAACCAAAAAATCCCATTTTTGGGATTTTTTAAAACTTTTTTGGGAATTCCGGGATTTCTAATAAGAAAATTCGAAATTTTTATTTAATTTTGGATTTTGAGTAAAAAAATCTACCTAACTGTAAAATTTCATCAAAAAATATTCATAAATAAAATTTTTATTGCAATT